CCTGGAGAAGGAAGGGGAAACCAAAGATAAAAAGATTGGAGCTAAACTTGGAGAAATCTATCTATCCGGTCACAGAATACAGAATACAGAATACAGAATACAGAATACAGAATACAGAATACAGAATACAGAATACAGAATAAAGAATACAGAATACAGAATACAGAATACAGAATACAGAATACAGAATACAGAATACAGAATACAGAATACAGAATACAGAATAAAGAATACAGAATTATGAAAAGAACAGCCACCATCTTTGCGACCTGATTGTGTAAACCTTTGCTATTTCAAACTTAAATTATTTGATCTAACAGTATCTATTGTTTAAAATATCTAAGGTCCGCTACATTGGGGTGCAAAGATAAAGGGATCGGAAAATCAAAGTTTGTGCCAAAGACTCAATTCCTTTTTAATTAATCACAGTGTCTCTTCTATAACCTTCTTTTTGCTTTATTGAGATAGATAACAGAAGGGGGGGGGGGAAGGGTTGAGATGTAGTTATTCACTAAATATAAAAAAATACATAACAAAAATGTTTTACAGTTAAACTTGATACTAAGGTTTAAATACTCAATTTACTCCTAGGGTAGTTAATGAGACAGCAGGGTTCAAAGTTTATGTTGTTTGTAATTATATCCTATACCACGAATAGACAGGAAACATACAGATTTTTCATATATTCAAACCCTCACAAAAAAAGAGAAAGAGTTATTACTAAACTGTAACTAAACCCATCTCCCTTTTCTGTGATGTTTTAACAGAAATAAGAAAGGTAAAAATTGGCAAAGATACTTATTGCATTTGTTTGCTTGAGCAAGGTTAGTGAAAACAAAAATGACATTGGAAAATATGCTAATTTAACTCACACNAGGCATCTGATTAAAGCTGTCTTGATGATGCTTGGATGAATATTCAGTAGGAACGAGGAACCCTGATATTCAATATAAATATAGTTCGTCCTTGGATACCTTCATCACAACCCAAACCTGGGAGATCTCATTCGTCCTACTCATCCATCCGACCTTCTCATCCATCCTGCTCATCCATCCTACTCATCCATCCTACTCATCAAAATCATCCATCCTACTCATCCATCCTGCATATCTGTCCTACTCATCTATCCTACTCGTTCATCCTGCTCATCCGTCCAAATCATCCGTCCTACTCATCCATACTACTCATCCATCCTACTAATCCCTCCCAATCATCCATCCTAATCATCCATCCTTCTTAGTCATTTATCCTACTCATTCATCCTACTCATCTATCGTCCTCATTCATACCGCTCATCCGTCATGCTCATTTATCCTACTCATTCATCCTATTCATCTTTCCTCCTCATTCATACAAATCATCCATCATGCTCATTTATCCTACTCATCTATCTTCCTCATTCATAGCACTTATCCATCATGCTCATTTATCCTACTCATTCATCATACTCGTTTAACTTGCTCATCCGTCCTAATCATCTATCCTCCTCATCCAAACAGCCCATCTGTCATGTTCAAACATCCTACTTTTCTATCCTACTAATCTTTCATTCATTCTACTGATCTCGTATCCATTCTAATAATCTCTCATCCATTCTAATAACCTTGCATTCATTTAACTAAACTTTCATCTGTTCAACAGATATTTCAGTCATCCTACTTATTTCTCATTCATTCTACTAATATCTTATTCATTCTACTCATCTCTCATTCATCCTAATCATCTCTAATTTATTCTACTCATCTCTCATTCATTTTGCTCATCTCCAGTTCATCTTACTCAACACCAGTTCATCCTAATCATCTTCAGTCCATCCTACTCATCTTCAGTTCATCCTGTCATCTCCAGTTCATCCTACTCATCTCCAGTTCATCCTACTTATCTCCAGTTCATCCTACTCTTTTCCAGTTCATCCTACTCATCTCTATTATAGTTCATCCTACTCATCTCCAGTTCATTCTACTCATCTTCAGTTCATCCTACTCATCTCTAGTTCATCCTGCTCATCTCTAGTTCATCCTACTATCTCCAGTTCATCCTCCTCATCTGCAGTTTATCCTATACTCATCTCCAGTTCATCCTGCTCATCTTCAGTCCATCCTACTCATCTTAAGTTCATCCTTCTCATCTCCAGTTCATCCTATTCATCTCCAGTTCATCCTACTCATCTCCAGTTCATCCTACTTATCTCCAGTTCATCCTACTCATCTCCAGTTCATCCAATTCATCTCCAGTTTATTCTACTCATCTCTAGTTCATCCTACTATCTCAAGTTCATCCTACTCGTTCATCCTACTATCTCCAGTTTATCCTACTCATATACAAAATCTATTTTTCTGATCAATTCACCTCATTCTATCCATTATCATCTTCTTAATTCAAATTTCGTCCTACTTTTGTTGCCCCTTCTTATTCTTCTTACACTTCTTCTCCGACTTTTCCTTTATTCAAAGTAATACATTACGAAACTTTTCTTGAGTTGCTCGTCATGTTTCATAACACAGTTCATCTCTCATACTTGTCTCTCCGGGTCCCCAAGTTCTCTCTGCTCACGGGTTACAATTGCTCCGGGGTTTAGTTAAACTCACGATTCTCAAAACAATGGACCAGTAAGAGGTTCAGTGAATATATTGGTAAAATTCATCAGAATGATCGTAATATCTATCGTAATATCGTAAAGAATGATACTTTAAACTTGAAACTCTTTAAATATATCAAATTGTGAATTTAATTTTAATTTCCTCCTTATAAATATAATCTTTTACAGACATTTTAGATTATTTGGCAGAGATAGAAAAAACGAAACATAAATGCAATTCTGTACAGTTTTCTCTGAAGTCTCATTTTTTGTGGATAACCCTGCATCTTTGTAAATAGTCCAGGGTTGAGGCGTGATTATTTGAGATTGAGGCCGGAATTTTACAAAATTTGAACATCCCAACCTTGGCTGTTTCATGTCCCATGCAGCTAAATTAATTCCTTTAAAATGTAAGAAACTAACCATAGGATTTGTACAAATTCATATATCTCTGCAACCTGATGGTGTAAACCTTTGAGATATTAAACTGTCGCTATTTTATTTGATAACATTCATAATTTGAAAAAGCCTTCGACATTGAGTTCCTGCCACAAACTCTAATTTTCTGATCTCTGCAACCTGATGGTGTAAACTTTTGATATTTTAAATTCTTAACCTATCTGTTCCAACCTAATTTACAGTTTGTAATATACAGGGTGTTCCAATAAACATGGGAATTCAGTGACGAATTCGATATCGTCTTTATGAATAATTCTTTGATTTAGTATAGTGATACCTACTGAGAAAGCTGTAATCTGTAAGAGTTCCGTCTGCTATGTTCACATTTTGTTTGTTTATGTTTTGACTGCATACGGTTGTACTTAGTAAAACAAGAAAATTGCAGTATACACTGTTCATCTTGCGGAGACATTATAGACACATCTGTACAGTCTTTTACCCTTTTCACAAGATAAACTCTAGCAGACATAATAATATTATGGCTTTTGAAATCAGGTATTACAATGCTAATTCATAACAAAGACGATATCGAATTCGTCACTGAATTCTCATGTTTTAAGGGACACCCTGTATATACAGTGATTATAAACTCAGATTTACTTTAGCATTTAAACCACACAGGCCGATATTCAAAATACACATTGGAACATCAATTTAGTCAATTCAGGGGACGATAAAGTCGTCAGCCGGTACCAAAAAGATCTTTCAGCTTTATCAAAAATAAAACGAACTTTGATAATACTTAAAATAGTTTAGTTGGACTAAGGAAGACAAATATTTCACAATTATTACAATTTAAGAATGAACATATCTTTTGTTTTTCAAATTTACTAAAATATTTGTATAAATATACAGCTAGAATAGTCATGCTGAAGGTTAAAACTGAACTAAATATAAACCTAATGGTATAATCGTGATTAGCTGGACAATGAGTAAATGTGGCCGATACATGCATGTATTGTAGAACTAGACAAAGGTTTTATTTAACAAGAAAAAGACAAAATTAAGGCTTTTATCTGAAATTGTTCTATGTTTATGTTCAATTAATGCATTCAAATATAAATGTTAAATTTTAATATGATCCATTTTTATAGATTATTACTACAAGTAGATATCTTAGATTATTGATATTTTTGCTCTTTAAAATGTAATTGGTGTTTAAATGGACTGGTTTTTGGGAATAAAAGATTTTTTATATTATTTTATATCATGAAATTTAAAATTCATTGATGACAGTAATTTTTCTTCTGAACTGAAAACTTTAGAATGGAATATACTTAATCCCGATCGGTTATTTAATCTGGAGATTAATAACAAGAGGAGAACATTCATTATTTAATCTCGAGATTAAGAAAAAGAGTGGATCAAGCATTAATCCCGATATCCACGTTCAAAAGTTCCCAGCTCTGTTTGAATAACTTAGGTAGATAAAAGAATGACTTTTTAGAATGCAAAAAAATGCATGACTTTGAATGCGTTTCTCTCCATCCCCCCACCATTCATTTTGAAATATATGATTCTTGTTCTTCCTATGGCAGGTCAAAAAACAAAAATCATTTTTTCTGTACATCATAAACCAAAATAGGTGGCAGGTTTTCCTATTTTCATAGGTGGATTTCAGTGGCTTTCCGAAACTAAAAACTAACTAAACCCTTTTCAGTTCCTATTGGTCGGCCATAAACCTTCACTGCAGTTCAACCATTTTGACGTTGTATTTAAACAAACTAACTAAAGAATATAATAAAGATGCACAAAGCGCAAATGCGTATATATAAGTAGAGTTAAAATGAAAAGACGGCGAAAGCGCCTTGAAATTTAAGTTATTAAATGTTACTGAAATTGGCCTCATTTTTATCAAATTCATTAGATACGTATATATATTTAATTAAGTAAAGATAAAGAACATATGCACTTGACAATACAAGATAACGCCTGATGTTTAAGAAAGATAATGTTATGCTTGTTTAACATAATTTTTATCTTGATGATGCTTAATGTTCATTTGAACCTTAAATATGAAGGTTCTAGCATGTACAGCTGTTATTCTTGCTTCTGCTCTTCTAGGTATGTTTTTTGTCACTGGCGTTAAAAAATATAAACTTGCATTTTTTTATCTAATATTTTATCTAATATTTTATCTAATATGTAGAAACTTTAAGTAATTATTTTCTAACAATACTTCAGGTTGTAATGCAAAGAGGGATAAAATAGTAGGAGGAGAGGAGGCCATTCCTCATGAATTTCCCTGGCAGGTTGCAATAATTAGTATTTATACATCATGAATTCTTCTGGTAGGTTGCAATATTTAGTATTTAATCCACATGAGTCCCCTGGCAAGTTGCAATAATTAGAATTTATACATTATGAATTCTTCTGGCAGGTTGCAATATTTAGTATTTAATCTACATGAGTCCCCTAGCAGGTTGCAATAATTAGTATTTAATCCACATGAGTCCCCTAGCAGGTTGCAATAATTAGTATTTAATCCACATGAGTTCCTCTGGCAGGTTGCAATAATTAGTATTTAATCCACATGAGTCCCCTGGCAGGTTGCAATAATTAGTATTTAATCCTAATGAGTTTCCCTGGCAGGTTGCAATATTAAGTTTTAAATCACATGAGTCCCCTGGCAGGTTGCAATAATTATAATTTAAATCACATGAGTTCCCCTGGTACGTTGCAATAATTATAATTTAATCCACATGAGTTCCTCTGGCAGGTTGCAATAATTATAATTTAATCCACATGAGTTCCTCTGGATAATTAGTATTTAATCCACATGAGTCCCCTGGCAGGTTGCAATAATTATAATTTAATCCACATGAGTTCCTCTGGCAGGTTGCAATAATTATAAATTAATCCATATGAGTTCCACTGGCAGGTTGCAATAATTAGAATTTTATCCATATGAGTCTCCTGGCAGGTTGCAATATTTAGAATTTAATCCACATGAGTTCCTCTGGCAAGTTGAAATAATTATAATTTAATCCACATGAGTTCCTCTGGCAGGTTGCAATAATTAGAATTTTATCCATATGAGTCTCCTGGCAGGTTGCAATATTTAGAATTTAATCCACATGAGTTCCTCTGGCAGGTTGAAATAATTATAATTTAATCCACATGAGTTCCTCTGGGAGGTTGCAATAATTAAAATCTAATCCACATTAGTTCCTCTGGTAGGTTGCAATAATTAGAATTTAATCCACATTAGTTCCTCCGTCAGGTTGCAAAAATTAGAATTTAATCCACATTAGTTCCTCTGGTAGGTTGCAATGATTAGAATTTGTTCCATATGAGTTTTCCTGACAGGTTGCAATAATTTGACTTTATTCCTCCAAAGTTTTCCTGACATTTTGAAAGTATTTGTTTCTCATGAATTCTTCTGGAAGGTTGCAATAATTATTGTTTACTCTTTTTAGTAAGGTTGCAATAATTACCATTTTTCCATAATGAGTTTTCCTGACAGGTTGAAATAATTAGACTTTATTCCTCTTAAGTTTTCCTGACTTGTTGAAAAATTTCTATGGAAGGTTGCAACAATTATTATTTACTCTTTACGAAGTTCCCTGACAAGTTGCAATAATCAATGGATATTTGTTTATTAAATAACAAGAGAACTTTTCAAAATAAATTACAATTGTGAATTGGAAAAAAAAAATTAATAAACAGAGTTAAGAAACTTTGCAAACATTTTAAGTATTCTCTAAATAAAAATGTTGTCTGATTGTTTAGGTCAGTCTGAGACGTGCATCTGATAACTTTCATTTCTGCGGAGGTTCAGTTCTCAAGTAGGTTTACAACAGTTTTAGGAATTAGATTGGATTATAGTATTGAATTGTTAAATGAGTACACAGTAGTCTATTGCTCATTGCACATTGTACTATGATATGTTTTATACACTGTTGTATCTGCTGCTCATTGTACTATGATATGTTTATAGTGAGTACACTGTTGTATCTGCTGCTCATTGTACTGTGTAATGTTTTATAGTGAGTACATTGTTGTATCTGCTGCACATTGTACTACGATATGTTTATAGTGAGTACACTGTTGTATCTGCTTCTCATTGTACTATGATATGTTTATAGTGAGTACACTGTTGTATCTGCTGCTCATTGTACTGTGTTATGTTTATAGTGAGTACACTGTTGTATCCGCTGCTCATTGTACTATGTTATGTTTATAGTGAGTACACTGTTGTATCTGCTGCTCATTGTACTGTGATCTGGGATAGTGCAGATGAGGTAAAAAAAACATTCCTTCCAATGTAAAGAAATTTGTCTTCACTACAAATTTAGATTTTCTAATCAATATATCTGTGAAACCCAATTTTGTAGACCTTAGATATTGCAAAATATGTTTTTTAATAGATATAATAGTCTAAGTTTGTGATATCAAAGTTTTACACCAGGAGGTTGCAAAGATATAGGTATTTAAATCATATTTAACAAAACTTTTTGTATTTTCAATTATTATCTCTTCAGGTTGTTGTTGTAGCTGGAGAGCATAATAAGGTTGAATTCGAAGGTAAATCAATGAAAAACTTAAAAAAAAAAAAAAAAAAAAAAATTATTTGCAGGAACTGAGCAGACTGTAGATGTGGCAGAATTGATTGTTCATGAATCCTACGGATCACCTAAGGTAGGACCATAGATAAAGATAGATTGCGCATAAGACGACATTTTTCATCTTGAAAGATATAAATGTACAGAGATGTTTTAAAGATATTCCTATTATATATATTAACTAGGTCGGTTGTGAACATTGGCTGTTCTTATGTCATTGAGTACTTGTGGTGTACATGAGTTCTGTAGAGAGAAATTTAAGTTAGTTTAGTCCTTCTCATGTCCTTCTTCAGTTCTCGTCAATATGATATATTGCTCAGTGAAATATTGTTGTTCAGATAGATCCATTTTACACCCTATTATGAAATCCATTAAAACACCAAACCACCCCGCTTATCATTGAAGTACACTTTGACCCCTAGGAGTATGAGTTCGCGGACTGTACAATTCTTGGTGATTTTGCGTAAATAAGCTATCTATGTTTATTTATTTATCTATGGGTAGGATGTTCGCAAATTATGAACAGGGACAAAGATTTGTCAATTGTTTAGTCCTTTATCCAACTTATAATAAATTTTATTTGTTTTTAGGGTTTCGAGAATGACATTGCGCTCTGGATATTGGCATCTCCACTGAACGTAAATTTTTCTATCTCATTATAAAAAGTTGAACAGAAACAGAAACAGAAACAGAAACAGAAACAGAATCAGAAACAGAAACAGAAACAGAAACAGAAACAGAATCAGAAACAGAAACAGAAACAGAATCAGACACAGATTCAGAAACAGAAACAGAAACAGAATCAGACACAGATTCAGAAACAGAAACAGATGTGTTGCACCAGCCAATATGTTTATTCAACTGAAATAATGCTCTGTTATAGAGATTACCTTCATCTGACATACAATAAGAGTTACAATAAGAGTAGAAAAGGATCAGTCAAATAATTTTTATTGTCACTGTTTTAAATTCGGTGATGGTGATGGACCAAACCTCTGTAGAGTAAAAAAGTAGATGTTAGTTCCACATTTATTTCGGTCTGGGTTGACCCTCGTCAGTTCTTGAGATTGTTTCTGTCACAAAGGTTAGAAAACAATTGTCACTGTAAAAAAGGTATACAGGCCTTAACTTCAACAAAAGTTTCGTTCTGTTTTGTACTGTATTCTTTCCATTCTAAATAAACTATTCTAAATATATATGTATATTTAGTGAAGATGTATTTTAATAAACATGTTTAGTTTACTGATGCAGTTGGTCCAGTTGCACTACCTACATCTCTACAACAATCTGAGGAATCTACTTTAACTTTTATATTATAAGCTTAATGGGACTACAGAACTAGTTTCAAGTGCTCCTCCATTTATAAAGTATCAAATCCGATTTACAACGGTACTCAAACTTTTGTTTACAGTCACTCTAAAGGAACTTTCTACTTTATTTTAGGCTCCCATTTAATATAACATTTTTCAAAACTCCCTTAAAACCTTTATTTGGTTTCTGTTTGAGCTATAGTTACGAACAGATATATCTAATTCAAGGTATTATTATTAGTATTATCATTAGTATTATTATTAGTATTATCATTAGTATTATCATTAGTATTATCATTAGTATTATTATTAGTATTATCATTAGTATTATCATTAGTATTATTATTAGTATTATTATTCGTATTATCATTAGTATTATCATTAGTATTATTAGTAGTATGACTTTAAGATTGAGGTAGATTAAAACCTAGGGATTCTGTACTGTAACTGGTTGGGGTACTCTATCTGCAGGAGGATCTACTCCAGATGTTCTCATGAAGGTTGGTTTTTATTTTGTTAAAATTCTAGCATTTTTATATTCCGTGACAATATTATTTTCCTCTCTTATTTTCAAAATCCACTTTATTTTCCATCCAGAATGGTTTTGAGCCCAACCAAAAAAGTTTTAAAATTTGGGACAACTTTATGGCCCGGCTGGACACTTTATTGTCCTGGTTGAGTTTATAATTTACCCATATGTATGTATTGATTACTCGTCTTTGAGAGGTAAATGGGATATACAACTACCTATATTTATACATATATACCTGGTCAAGGATTAAATTATGAGAGTTTTGAGATTGAGTCGGGATTTTGATACTTATCTTATGATCTCATGATCATTTAATAAGTAAAACAGGATCGAAAAGAGAAATTAGAAATTTTGGCGGTTATCCAATGAACATTCAGTAAGAACCAGAAACCTCTGAAATAGGAGAAATCAGAAAATAAGTTTATTTGATGTTGTTACAAAGCAATTAGTTTTCAAATTAACTTTTTAGATCATTGCGGCTCATGGTTCTTTAAACTGTTTAAAGCCATTACTGGAGTCTTAAGGTCGTCTTCCAGTCGTTTTCTAGTTCTTACTGTACACAATACACACATTTAAATGTTATCAGGTTGATGTGCCAGTGGTTGGAGATGGAACCTGTAGCCTGGAATATCCTCTATCTATTGCTGAGAGTATGCTGTGTGCTGGAGAGAGAGGAAAGGACAGCTGTCAGGTGTTTGTGAAATATTTTTTCACCCATAGACTTAATAATCAAATCTTATACACTCAGCTAGATAGCCCATACCGACACGGCATGCTATATTTCTACAGCGAGTTTTATAACTGCCATCTAACGCTACTTGTTGCATATAATCCACATTTAGGGGTTAATTCTAACAATTTTGATATAAATACTTTTAATTTCAACACCGTTTGCAGTTTCCATATTTGATTGTGTTCTTCTCTTTTCCAATTTTAAAAACATAATAAAACAGATGTACACACTAAACCCCGCTGTGGAAAAAATCGCATATTCTGGTCATATTAAAAGATATCTGGTTCAAACCGATCAAATTCCAGCGTTGCCTTCGTCAACTTATCAAACCAGTCAAGACAAATATCAAAATATTAACAAGAAATTGATCTATACCGAGAGTCAGAAACAAAGAATTGAGAATAACTTAAATCATTATTCTCATATTCTTTCTCACTACTCAAGTGGGGTTCAGCCCCCCCCCCCTCCTATGGTTTACAAGGGGGTTCTACGGCCCAAATGGGTGCTGACCCCCCCCCCTGAGTAGTGAGTATGCCTCTGAGAATAATGATTAAAACTATTCTCAAATTTTCTTGGCCACCTTGCTTTCCTATCCATGGAAACCACAGCTTTGTGAAACAATTTCGCGAATTATTTCGGTTTTGAGAATCTTATCAGAAGATTTGATTTGTGACTCTCGGCATTGATCAATTTCTTAAAATTTGAAAACTTCCAATTTTGTTTATGTTCAGGGAGACTCTGGTGGTCCACTGATCTGTTATAATGCTGATGGATCAGGATACCTGGGGGGTATAGTTAGCTGGGGGAGAGGTTGTGGAGGAATATACAGGTAATTCAAGTAGTTTATGTACCTCAGGTATTTCAGGTAGTTCAGGTAGTTCAGGTAATTCAGGTAGTTCAGGTAGTTCAGGTAGTTCAGGTAGTTCAGGTAGTTCAGGTAGTTCAGGTAGTTCAGGTAGTTCAGGTAGTTCATGTAGTTCAGGTAGTTCAGGTAGTTCAGGTAGTTCAGGTAATTCAGGTGTTTCAGGTAGTTCAGGCAGTTCAGGTACTTTAAGTATTTCAGGTAGTTTAGGTAATCAGGTAGTTAAGGTATTTCAGGTATTTCAGGTAGTTCAGTTAGTTCACGTAGTTCAGACATTTCAGGTAGTTCAGGCAGTTCATGGGTTTATTTTATCGGTAATTGCAATTTTGCAAAAATGTATTTTGTTGTTTTATTTTAGTCCCGGAGTATACACTGAGGTCAGCTACTTCATTGACTGGATTCAAGAAAATAATTAGAAAAATTATTCAGAAAATAATATTTTATGATATTTTGAAACTTTTAATAAATGTTTGCAATTGTTATCGTTTATTTATACAAAGTGAGAAAATGTGATTTTCTGCTTTAACGTTTTTTCTTCTTGAAAATGTAAGTATGGATAATTTCTAGACAGCAAATACATGGAAGTTTTATTTAGAATTTAAATATTCCTGGGATTTATTAATACATCTTTTTATCAATCAATCAATGTTTATGAAATTTTGTGATAGAATTAGATTTCCCAAGATTTTCCCCTCGTTTTCTTAACAGAGTTTAAATATCAGAATATAGATACTAGAGAACATGTTCCCAATCATACCAATACAGTGTATTTCACGAAACTTACCAAGCCAAATGCAGCCACCTACAATTCTATAGTATCCATATTTTGAGGTTAAAATATTCGAAATTTACCAACAAATATTTTTTTTTACTTCATTACAATATTTTTCATCTGAAAACATAAATCCGGCCACAATTCTATAGTGCTGTAATTTAGTGTATTCGTTTAAAGGGAGTAACCGGCAATGTATGGTGGTTGAACTAAATATGTAGTATTGTGGAAAATTTTTTAGAATTCATTTGAGACATATAAAACGTTTCTACGACGTGTATTTACTGAGTTTAAGCGCAAAGTCAACGTTCAAAATCATGAATTTGTATGGGTAAATTTTCAGAATCGGTTTTTTAAAAACTATTTAATAACGACGACAAAAAATGTAAACAAAATTCGACAGTAAACTAATTGGTTGTTCAGGAACAGGTTGAAAATATGAAAATTAACTTTTATCATCGAACATAAGTAATCTTGTTCAATTATTTGTTTCTATAATCTCTCATTATTCACAAAGATTTTCTGGAATTTTTATTGAAAAGACGACATTTGAAGAAATTGTAGAAATCTGCGAACAAATTCATAGAAAATAAGAAATTCAATATAATGATAAAAACGAAATCATTGATTCTAACAGTTCACTTTATAAGTTTTACTTTATTTTTCGTCGACGTTATTTAATATTATTTTTAAACCAATTCTGAAACGTACCCACCCAAATTCATAATTTTGAACGTCAACTTTGCACTCAAACATCGTGGAAACATTTTATATGTCTCAAATGAAAAGATTTTCTACAATAATGCATACTCACTTCAACCAGTCACTCCCTTGAATGAATGAATCCGAACTTGATGACATAGTGTATATATATAATAGGGTCACGGCTCGTATCCAGGGATTTAATATTTCAATGAAGAAAATCCGCACGTTCATCTGCTTAAACTTAAACTTGCATTGTTGGGCCGAGTCGGCCTGATTGCATTTATGGCAACATTTAAGGTTTTAACAACACTTTTTAACCCGATCTTTATACAACACTGCTTTTCAGGCTTTGTGTTTGTGCACGAAACTTGAAGCGCGCGCATGTCCATGCATGAATGTAAAGTAAGAAAAGGTAGAATGTGTTCCTCAAAATATGTTTAAAGATAAACTGCAATCAATCTATTTTGAAAGGGACTGTACACTGTAAACTAGACAGATGGAGATGGTAGAATTCATGCAACATTACTGCTACGACTTTGTGACCTTGTAGCTCCTCTAGTTTTAGAATTAGAAATGGTTATTATTGAAAAAAAATAAGATTTCACTGTTACGTGCAATTTACTTTAGTTGATAGTGTGTAGACATTAATTTTAGAATTAGATGTATACTTATTCTTTACAACGATGCCCTTTAAAACTTCTGTTTCACAAAACGATACCCTTTAAAACTTCTGTTTCACAAAACGATACCCTTTAAAATTTCTGTTTCACAAAACGATACTCTTTAAAAATTCTGTTTCACAATGATACCCTTTAAAACTTCTGACTAAGGATCAAAAAGATATCCTTCTTTTCTGATTAAAAAATTGATTATTTTTAATTTTGTGGTTTCTCATACTTGAAATTGACTATGATAAAAACTACAGAACTCTACACTTTAAATATATTTTCCTCAGATAGATGTTTGACGGAGAATAACCTATAATACGGTTTCTTTAAACTCTAATCAAAAATCACAGAGATTAATATGTTTAAAGGTACTCAAAAAGAGGGTTATAGAATATATCAGAATTGAAAAAGGTTTCGATTGTGACACTTTTTTAACTCTGATGTTTCTATATCAAGAAAAGCAAATAAATCTGTTTTCACTTAGACCTCAGAATTGAACTGTATAGTGTATGTACAAGGTGTCTCACAAAACATGACAGCTGGTAAATAGCTTAGAATGTCTTCTTCCATTATTTGTTAAGTTATATGATACCAAAGACAATAATAAAAATGTTATATGGGAGTCATGTTACAGTAAAATTGATCTCAGGATAAAATATATTTAAACAAAAGATTTTCCTAACAAAATAAACTGCACTTTAATATCTGATACAGTATAGGATAGACAACACTATTTATCAACTGTCATGTTTCGTGGGACACCCTGTACGTTACCCCCCTTTCATTTTCCCGAATACCATTAATCTCAAACATTTTATATTATAAATATTTTACATCTTTTTTGAGTCATTCATTCCCATCTTTATTCTTGCATATGCGGAAACCAAGTTTTTAGTTTGTCTCGTTTCTGAAGAATCATTATTTTGTATCTTAGAGGCATATCCTTAAACTATAGTGTAGACGGATTAGATAAATACAGAGACGGACATTCAAACCGGCGATATTTAGGAGAAGGGGGGAAAGGATAATTTTAATATTTTATTCTTAAAGAATTGTTGTATATGGAGTATAATTCTGTTAATATTATGGTTCAAATTTTGGAAACCCCAAGAAGGATTTTTAAATTAACTTTTCGAGTTTACCCGGTTTACAAAAAAAATACCGCGTATATTGAAAATTATGCACGTTAATTGGGATTGTATGTATCTTTTTATTTTTTTTTATTTTGCCCACAAAAAAAATTCGGAAATCTATCAACGGTAAAAGAAGAATCCTCGAAATTTTTTAGTTTTCGATGTACGAAGGAAAAATGGCGGGTTCAGAAGTAAAACCTGCAAATGTTACGAGAAAAAAGCACACCCCTTGAAAACATATTTCAGATAAATTTCAGTCTGAATCAAATTAGCGTGCTTAGTACACTTGTAAACTAATTATCAAATTAGCGTGCTTAGTGCACAAGTAAACTTATTATTAAATTAGCGTGCTTAATACACTAGTAAACTAATTATTGAATTAGCGTGTTTAGTACACTTGTAAATAATTATTAAATTAGCGTGCTTAGTACACACGTAAACTTATTATTAAATTAGCGTGCTGAGTACACTAGTAAACTAATTATCAAATTAGCGGGCTTAGTACACTTGTAAACTAATTATCAAATTAGCGTGCTTAGTGCACTTGTAAACTAATTATCAAATTAGCGTGCTTAGTGCACAAGTAAACTTATTATTAAATTAGCGTGCTTAGTACACAAGTAAACTTATTATCAATTTAGCGTGTTTAGTACACTAGTAAACTATTTATTAAATAAGCGTGCTTAGTACACTAGTAAACTTATTATTAAAGTAGCGTGCTAAGTACACTAGTAACCTAACTATTAATTTAGCGTGCTTAGAACACTAGTAAACTAATTATTAATTTAGCCTGCTTAGTACACTAGTAAACTAATTATTAAATAAGCGTGCTTAGTACACTAGTAAACTAATTATTAAAGTAGCGTGATTAGTACACTAGTAAACTAATTATCATATTAGCGTGCTTAGTACACTAGCAAACTTATTATTAATTTAGCGTGCTTAGTACACTAGTAAACTAATTATTAATTTAGCGTGCTTAGTACACTAGTAAACTAATAATAAGATTAGTGTGCTTAGTACACTAGTAAACTATAAATAAGATTAGTGTGCTTAGTACACTAGTAAACTAATTATTAAATTAGCGTGCTTAGTGCACTAGTAAACTAATTATTAAATTAGCGTGCTTAGTACACTAGTAAACTAATCATTAATTTAGCGTGTTTAGTACATTAGTAAACTAGTTATTAAATTAGCGTGCTTAGTACACTGGTAAACTAATTATTAGATTAGCATGCTTAGTACACTAGTAAACTAATTATTAGATTAGCATGCTTAGTACACTAGTAAACTAATTATTAAATTAGCCTGCTTAGTACACTAGTAAACTAATTATTAAATTAGCGTGCTTAGTACAATAGTAAATCAATTATTATATTGGCGTGCTTAGTACACTTGTAAACTAATTATTATTAGATAAGGAAGATAAAAGTTGCAAAGTTTGTTTTGGTTTTGTAGTATCACGACTTATACAATACACACCTCGGGATTAATTAATAAATTCATTAACTTCTAAACCAATTAACCACGAGGTTTTATCATTAAGCATTAAATGTATGGTGACCTTGTAGCATTAAAATAAAAAAGCTTAACTAAAATAAATTATGTATGTTTATTTATATGTTTTATTATTTCTGAATAATCAGTAAGAAATGAACTGATTACTCGCCACAATATCTTATACTGTCGTAGAAATAATATTTACCAATAATGAACTAGCTGCCAGACCAAATAGTTAAAGTTTTTAAAATCAAAGGTTTATCTCTTTTAAAGCAAAGATATAGGGATCTAAAAATATCTTATACTGTCGTAGAAATAATATTTACCAATAATGAACTAGCTGCCAGACCAAATAGTTAAAGTTTTTAAAATCAAAGGTTTATCTCTTTTAAAGCAAAGATATAGGGATCTAAAAACTTGAGTTTGTTGGAAATACTTTCTTTGATAATGCTGATTATACATATGGGAACTTCACTGAAAAAGAAAACATTTTAAAACATTTAAAAACATGGAACTAGTTTATCTGTTTGTTAGTCCGTTCTCATAAGAGCAACCAATAACTAGCATGGAAAATGTTTAAAAACAAAAATAGAAATCGACACCAAGTCGATGAAGTTTTACTTTACTGCAATTCTGGATGAAAATGTGCTAGCAGAAGTTATAGAAGAAACGCAAGAGGCAAAATATACTATTCTTTATTTTTAAATTCTATAAAAAGATATGAATTTAACAATATAAAATATGAAATAAAATATAGATTGAAATCAATGGCACGAGATTTAATTATCACATACCACGATAAGCTGAATGTCCTTTGCTTAAAAGTCTAATGAGTATAAACTTTGAACTAATTTTCCCCCATTTAATAAGAATTTTGAGGACGAAGATGCACTTCGTTTTGATAGTTCTACGTGATGCACTATTTCGCTTGGACTTATCACCTAAATGTCATTTAGTTTTGGGTCAAAATCTTCCTGCCTTATTTTATATTAAAATGGTTTGTTCTTGTCATAATGTATTAAATGTAGTCTGAGTTAACGAGAGTTGAAATATAACTGTTGAGATCAGAATGAACAAAGACGACAGATTTGAAGCAGAACTTGAGGTTTCAGAATTATCATACACGGCAATTCCAGTAAACTCCTTTTCCTAAAAAAAAAATAAAATCCTGTGAAGATTTTTCTTATTTTTATGTCAAGAATATGGTTTCCAGGAGGACCCATAAAACTGTGGAACTGAAAGACGACTGAATTAGACTCAAATTGTAGTTTATAATTGTCCACACATAAAACATAGCTAAGGACATATTCAGGAATTTGTACTGGGGGAGCTTAATCGTTTTTTAGAGGGGGGGGGGGGCTCAGCACCCTTCGGGACCTGAAACCCCCTGAAAACCATAGATTGTGCAAGATACACAGACCCATTTCACTTAATAAGTGGAATCTAAGTGCCGACTTCCAATGCCCTAGTTTTATGGGTCGGCATTGTTTTAAAAATAGCATACAGAGCGTCCTATATCATATCGGATTATCACCAAGCTTTAAAGCCTTAAAGGGACTGTAAAGGAAAAATGAAAGGGGGTATAGGCTGAAAGCTAATCAATTTAGCTCTTGATCGCGACCCATGAAAGTTTTATCTGATGTTCCTGTCTCGAGAAATTGATATAAAACTGTGTTTAAATTATACGAAAGTTCATATATGTAAAATTTAGAAAATTTTAAACTTAAATCACGTGACCAGAACTATCACCAATGGCAGAGCAGTATACTGGTCACTTGTCTCCGCCTGTATCACGTGACCACTTTATTACACTGCCATTGGTGGAATTTCTGGTCAAGCAATACGGACGTGTAAATAATATTATGAATTAAATCTATAAAAAAATAGAAATAACAAATATAAAAGTAGAATTTGGAGTAAACCTAAGTTACAATTAGCTTTCTCTGGGATATCATCGTTTTCAGATTGGTTGCATATTTGCTGAATTTGATCTTTTTAAACCCTCTACTTTTATACAAAATTGCATATATATTAATTTTCGTACAAAGTTGTAAATCAGTTTCTCGAGATAGGAACATCAGATATAACTTTCATGGGTCACGATCGAGAGCTAAAGTGATTAGCTTTCAGCCTATACCCCCTTTCATTTTTCCTTTACAGTCCCTTTAATACGCACAAAATAATCGAAAAAAACTAGTATTTTCTGCATGCAATCTTTTTATTCAGCCTTAGACGACTTTTTTTAAATGATTCAATCTTTTAAAATCGTCTGATTTGTCCCAAGAATCGTATTTAAGAGCTATAAACGATCTAAATATGATGTGAGACACCCTGTTATAGAAAACCACCTCTTCCTTCTTAGCAGGACATCGCCAATGAAAAACAATTTTATCTAATCTGAGATCAGACTTTCCTGAGATATATCCCAGATAGCAGGAAGGTCTCGGAGGTACTGAAAGAAAAACTAATAAGATACATATTTGTAAATTACAAATTAGTTGTAAAGCTAAAAAAACTGAGATCGAAACTTTTTTGTGGAAATTGATAATCTCGAACGTATGATCTCGATATCCTTTGATCCAATGATGTGGGTATTTCAAATTGGAGATCAATGCTTGATCACGCGATTCACAAAACTTCTGGCTTCAGAGCTGGGAACTTTTAAATGGTGGATATCGGGATTAATGCTTGATCCACTCTTTTTCTTAATCTCCAGATTAAATAATGCTTGTTCCCCTCTTGTTATTAATCTCCAGATTAATTAAGCGATCGGGATTAAGGATATCCCATTCTTAAGTTTTTAGCTCAGAGCTTTTATGTTAAAGATTTACAGATTAATTCAATTCCTCTTTGATATCCCGTGGTGGTCATACCCTGTAGGAATAACCTTAATTGAGGGATCAGGCATTAATCATAATTAATCAAAAGTGTCCACGTTGGAAATAGACATCAAGCGTTCAAGATCAATGTAACTATAACACACAAAAGTATAGACCTTTAAAATACCACAGGCAAAGGAATAGAGCTACTGCAGCAAAGAATAGATAAAAATCTGTAAATGTCTGATTTCTCATCCAGGGTAAGTACCCTGTCTAATCTTAGAATTGATACCTGATCGAAAAGGCATCCCACCCGTTCCTCCAAACGGACCAAACGTTTTATTACTGAAAATTTTAAATTAAAAACAGGTTTTTAATATTCTAAAATTAGAATTTTTGTCTTGAACATTCAAGAGAGGATATTTTCTATGAAATGATTGAGTCGTTTCGACAAACTCAAACTTGTTCATCCCTATATCTTTGCAACCTGGTGGTGTAAACTTTTGATATTTCAAACTTATATTATTTGATCTAACGGAATTTACAGTTTGAAATATCTAAGGTCTACGACATAAGGTTTCTAAGATATAGGGGTTGGAAAATTCAGAGATTGTTGCATGGGAATATCTTATTTATGAAATAATTTGAACTAAATATTTAACTATTATCTTTTACTATTTAATTTTTTTACTTTTTTGTATGAAAAGTTAGTTGATCCACCCCTGATCCTGGTCCCAGCCCTGCTCGACCTTAGTAATATATAAATGTACATTAGTGCTATATAGTTTATAGTTTATAGGTTTGATTGATGTGAGAGATAAAATATGCATTTTCAGAAAAAGAAAATTATATCTTGGAAGGAAATTGTTCACTGTTTAAAGAAAAATTTTGTCTATCAAAAAACCTGAAGTAGTTTGACCGATCAAAAACTCTGATAGAATCTAATGCTATAGCATAATTTTTTTTACAACAAAACTTTTATTATGAAATTATCCTAGAATTATCCATCATTTGAGAACACATTAATATAGATTAGCTAACTAGCTTCTCATTCTTAAGAGTTTGTGGCAAAAGCTCAAGTCCTTGATAATATGGTATACACCCTTTACACCTAGATACATTAGATAAGTTTAATCTTCCAGATTTTGGATGGATTAAATTGCCCTCGATCTAGTGAAGATACTTGGCTATGCACCACTTAGCCATTAGATTGATTAATGTCAGAGATCAAATCTGTATTTTCAGAAAAAGAAAATAATATCTTGGAAGGAAATTGTTCATTGTTGTCTATCAAAAAACCTGAAGACCTATCGAAAACTAATGTTTTTTTTTACATTTTAACAAAACTTTTATCATGAATCAATCTTAGAATTATCCATCATCTGAGAACACATTAATATAGACTAACTAACTAGCTTCATATTCTTAAGGACTGATGATGATGTAAAAAAAACATCAAAATATATTTCCTACTTTGAAGTTGTGAATTCTACTGTTAGAGAACACATTTTTTACAGTTATCTATATATAAATTTGGCTTGTCTGTTTGTATCCAATAAACGCCAAAACGGCTGAACCGATCGGGCCCAAATTTTTTGTGGGACATCCCGTGACCACAGGGGGAAGGTTTATGAATGATAAAAAAATTTAAAAAAAAGTCTCTTAAAGGTTTTTAATTTTGTAAAAAAATCAAATTCTTGAAAATCCGCGAATTTTTTTGAAAAAATCCGCAAATTTTTTTCTTCTTTGTTTTTAAATGTAAACAAAAAGAACATGTTCACAATTTAAATAGAAGATGGGCGCGATGCGCCCTAAAAGTTTAGAAAGAAGGGCGCGAAGCGCCTTGAATTTCTAGTTATAATACAAATATAAATAACTTTACTTTTTCAGAGTTTCATTGAAAAAGAAAAATTATAAAAAAAAATTCAAAATTAAATTATTTTTTGGGCATTAACAGAAATCTCATGGTTGAGTCATACAGTACATATTCAACAATCATGAAAAGATATTTGAGTTTTAGTATTTAGTAAAGAACCTGTCACTGCAATTATAGAATCTCCGTCGTAAAGTCGAATTCTATGAAGGTTTCCACCCTGGCCACCATGATATGCGCCCTAATCATACAAAATAATCATTAATGGAACTGCATAAGCGTAATTTCCCAGCAAGATTGTTATACGGTACCTTAAACCCTTTGTCTGATAAATTATGTGGAAGATATTGTCGTTTTTCTAGGTTTCAAAACGTTGAGTTCTGATAATTCCTAAATGTTTTCTTGCACTGGAAATATATGCGCAAGTCGATTTATAAAGAAACCACAAAATTATGAGTTTCAAACTTATAAACATTGATATCTAATTTATACCTGTTCAGACAACATTTTTAAGGTAACCGTTGTGAATCGGGTATTATTTTATTTTTGCTTGGAGGGCCACTTGAAATTACGCGTACAGTCCTTTTTAAAGGGATTGTTCAGATATTTTACTTAAGTGGGAGGTACAGATTATTTTTCAGAGGAATTTCAATACATTTAATTTAAGGAAATGAGTTATTGCAATTATTTAATACTATTAACTTGCAACCCAATCTCGTAGTCCTTTCATATTTTAAACTACGAATTTGAGGAATCAAACAACTTCTAAGTTTGACATATCCCAGGTGTACACCATCAGGTTGCAAAGATAAAGGGATTAGAAAAAAGGGATTACTGGCCAAAAAAATTGCAAAAAGAAATAGTGTCACCTTGTGACCCCCATATAGAATCTGTATTCCGTCTATTCGTCCTCCAGCTCGGATATTTATCTGAATAAGTTTTGTATCAAACCATAGGTTTAAACCTTCTATCTGTCCACCTGCTCTAAATAAGGTTTAAATCAAATTAGGTTTAAACCTTCTATCTGGCCTCCGGCTCGGATATTTATCTAAATAAGTTCTAGATCAAACTATATGTTTAAACCTTCTATTCTTCCTCCGGCTCGGATATATCTAAATAAGGTTTAAACCTTTTATCCGTCCTCCTGCTCGGATATTAATCTAAACTAGGTTTGAACCTTCTATCCGTCCTTCTACTTGTATATTTATCTAAACTAGGTTTAAACCTTCTATCCATCCTCCTGCTCGGATATTTATCTAAACTAGGGTCAAACCTTCTATCCGTGCCCCTGCTCGGATATTTATCTAAACTAGGTTTAAACCTTCTATCCATGCTCCTGCTCGGATATTTATCTAAACTAGGTTTAAAACTTCTATCCATCCTCCTGCTCGGATATTTATCTAAACTAGGTTTAAACCTTCTATCCATGCTCCTGCTCGGATATTTATCTAAACTAGGTTTAAACTTTCTATCCATGCTCCTGCTCGGATATTTATCTAAACTAGGTTTAAACCTTCTATCCATCCTCCTGCTCGGATATTTATCTAAACTAGGTTTAAACCTTCTATCCGTGCTCCTGCTCGGATATTTATCTAAACTAGGTTCAAACCTTCTATCCGTGCTCCTGCTCGGATATTTATCTAAACTAGGTTTAAACCTTCTATCCGTTCTTCTGCCCGGATATTTATCTAAACTAGGTTCAACCCTTCTATCCATCCTCCTGCTCGGATATTTATCTAAAATAGGTTCAAACCTTCTTTCCGTGCTCCTGCTCGGATATTTATCTAAACTAGGTTTAAACCTTCTATCCATCCTCCTGCTCGGATATTTATCTAAACTAGGTTTAAACCTTCTATCCATCCTCCTGCTCGGATATTTATCTAAACTAGGTTTAAACATTCTATCCATCCCCCTGCTCGGATGTTATCTAAACTAGGTTTAAACCTTCTATCCGTTCTCCTGCTCGGATATTTATCTAAACTAGGTTCAAGCCTTCTATCTGTCCTCCTGCTCGGATATTTATCTAAACTAGGTTCAAACCTTCTATCCATCCTCCTGCTTGGATATTTATCTAAACTAGGTTCAAACCTTCTATCCATCCTCCTGCTCGGATATTTATCTAAACTAGGTTTAAACCTTCTATCCATCCTCCTGCTCAGATATTTATCTAAACTAGGTTTAAACCTTCTATCCATCCTCCTGCTCGGATATTTATCTTAACTAGGTTTAAACCTTCTATCCATCCTCCTGTCATCATCTAGGGTAAATGAAACCTATTGAGGAGGACGGATTGTGAAATATCATGAACTATATCTGCGTCTTCAAGGAGGAAAGGGTGGGAAATTTTTTGAACTATTTATATCTGCTTCTCCTGGTCTACTGACTACATAGAGTTAATGAAACCTTATGCGAAGGACGGGTTGGGAAATTTTATTAACTATATCTGCTTCTTCTGGTCTACTGACTAACTAGAGTATATGAAACCTGTTGAGAAGGACGGGTTGTGAAATATCTTAAATTATCTTTGCTCTTTCTGGATCCAGAGTTAATGAACCCTGTTGAGAAGGGCGGGTTAGGAAATATCTTAAATTATCTCTAGTTCCAGAAAGAGCTAGAGTTAATTTGAGAAGGACGGGTTAGGAGATATCTTAAATTATCTCTGCTCTTTCTGGAACTAGAGTTAATGAACCCTGTTGAGAAGGACGGGTTAGGAAATATCTTAAATTATCTTTGCTCTTTCTGGAACTAGAGTTAATGAACCCTGCTGAGAAGGGCGGGTTAGGAAATATCTTAAATTATCTCTGCTCTTTCTGGAGCTAGAGTTAATTTGAGAAGGACGGGTTAGGAGATATCTTAAATTATCTCTGCTCTTTCTGGAACTAGAGTTAATGAACCCTGTTGAGAAGGACGGGTTAGGAAATATCTTAAATTATCTTTGCTCTTTCTGGAACTAGAGTTAATGAACCCTGCTGAGAAGGGCGGGTTAGGAAATATCTTAAATTATCTCTGCTCTTTCTGGAACTACAGTGAAACCCTTAATAACGAATACATCGAAAGAATTCATCAAATGTCGTATTCTTCACTTTCTAATAATGGAATGTTGCAGATATTTAGTTTTTTTTAAATAAATGATTACATGGAACTCTTTAAAACTGTTCCTGCATATTCATGGCTATTTATTTATTTTCGTAAATACTGAAATTTACGAAATATAGTATAAAACTTATTGAAAAATTGTCAAGACGACATTCGATAAATTCTTCCGATGTATTCGTTATTAAGAGTTTTACTGTAGAGTAAATGAAACCTGTTGAGGAGGACGGGTTGGAAAGTATCTTGAATTATCCGGACTGCTCCACCAGTCTGTAAAGTACACTCCTCCTTCTCCCCCGTAGGATCCGGGAACAAACCACTGAGTATCTTTGAGCATAAGTTCTCCTAAAATATCAAATCAAACCAATCCTGATAAACACGGAAATTATTGACGAATCAGATTTTGTCTTTTAATCAATTCTTTGTGATCATAATTATGAAAGTATTTGACTCAAAACAATTAATACTAGAAATTCATTTCTAAGGATTTCCAAATTGTGGTCGGATTTTTTAAAAGGAAATCTTATGGGTATTTATTTTTGTTTATATCAGTAGCTTGAAAATCCCCTTATTAAGTGAAATGGGTCTGTGTACACTCTATACATTTGCTGGTTTCCTCATTTCATGTTCATTGGACTATTAAATATGCTTATTTAAACAGTCGCTGCATCACAAATTAAAAATAGAACTTTTAACAGAACTTGTTAACATTAATATTAACATGGTTGTTAAAGAAAAACTGAATTCAAATGTAGCAGTTTATTGTAATTGACACCCTTACAATATAAACAATCTAGTTTTGCAAATTCAAATACTTTCAAAATAATTTATAAAGTAGAACCTTGAATGTCAGACATGGTTTTCGTCTCACTCTGGGTCAGGATTACAAAAGAACTGAGAACTAGTAGAGAAACCAATCTTTCACTCATTATTTAACTCTGAAACAGTAATAAATGATTCACTTATTCGTTAACTCTAAAACATAAATTAATGTCTCATTCATACTTTAACATGAAACATAAATTAATGATTCACTTATTCGTTAACTTTGAAACATAAATAAATGTTTAACTCATACTTTAACTCTAAAACATAACACAATTGTCATTCATTTTTAAAGTCAGAAACAGAAATATAACACAATTTTCAGTAAATTTTTAACTCTGAAACATAATTTTTACCCATAGTTTAAATCTATATTAATTATGTTCTCATACTTTAACTCTGAAACATAAACCAATGTTTCACTCATACTTTAACTCTGAAACGTAGCACAATGTTTCACTCATACTTTAACTCTGAAACATAAACCAATGTTTCACTCATACTTTAATTCTGAAACGTAGTACAATGTTTCAAACATACTTTAACTCTGAAACATGAAATAATTTCTCTCATACCTTAACTCTGAAACATAAACCAATGTTTCACTCATACTTAAACTCTGAAATATGACATAATTTTCACTCATACTTTAACTATGAAACATAAACCAATGTTTCACTCATATTTTAATTCTGAAACGTAGTACAATGTTTCAAACATACTTTAACTCTGAAACATGACATAATTTTTACTCATACTTTAACTCTGAAACATGACATAATTTTCACTCATACTTTAACTCTGAAAAATGACATAATTTTCACTCATACTTTAACTCTTAAAAATAACACAATTTTTAACTCTGAAACAATTTTTCACTGAATTTTACAAAGAAACAAGAGAAAAAAATTATTTAGAAATGTATTCAAGATCACGTATAGTACTAGGACTCAAATACTGCCTACGATCAATATTAAAAAAATATAGTGTGCCTCGATTAATAAAGTATACTATGTACTATGCTGCAGGATTTAACCTTTTCTTGAAACTTAGATTTTGAAGATTGAAGATATCTTCGGTTTTCTAATTCATGATTGTTCAGGTCCTAACGACAGCGTTCGATAATTTTTCAAACGAATTGGTCGTTAATGGTAAACCCCGTTTGTTTGTCGTTATGCAGCGCTGCAGTCAAATATAACAAGGTGTATTTACTATTTAGATAATACTAAAGATACGATAACACAGTGGATATATTATTTAGCTAGTGCTGTACTAGCTGAATACACGGTAAACGACTAAAGTTTATAATTTAAACCTCTTCTATAATATACATTCATCCTACACAGCAGTTTGGCTTCACACTTCAAAAACATTGATTTATAGAATATTTTCAACATTTTTTTTATTTATTGCTATTAAAAAAATTTAGTAATAGTAAAAAGTTAGGGCGTACAGACCATATACAGCCCTGAATTATAGAGTATATATTGTAATGTAACTGGGTCAAAATGTAGAAAACCCTAGACTTTTGATTGCTGAATAATGTTGATATGGAGGCTTTATTTTTAAAGATTCAGATTTCAGTGTTGCAGTATAATGAGTCAACTTTGAGAGAGTAAACAGGGGGGGGCTTCCTATTCTATGATAAATCTCATTTTTACATTTTAAAGTTTTAAATTGATTAAAGTTTAAAACTTTAGAATCTCAAATCCTGTGCGTTTTTANCCCCCCCTCCTTTGCTCCTTAATCTTACAGATACCTTTCGCATTTATAATGAATTTTTTTACACTGATTTCAAAACTGGTTTTTTAGTTCCATACACTGTTTTTATGTTGCTTATTTTTCTTCTATATATCTAATAATCTTAACTTTGCCATAAACATGGATTATAATTATAATTTTTGATTTTCATTGATTTTACTGATGCCGTATCTTTATTTTGACTTTCACAAAGATTCTAAGAATAAAAAAAAAAAGTTCACGGTTTATCATTAAACAACATTTTAAAAAGTTAAAATTATCTTTGATCTTTGAAATTTTTAAAAACTATTTAAAATAAGATCTATAAAAGAAATTAACAGGTTCATGATAGCTAGAGCTTAATTATCTTTTAAAAATAAATGCTGATTTTAAAGAGGAACTTGCTGCGACATACTTTTTACTTTATTTTTAATTGAATTGAAAATCCAGTCTATAGCTTAGACTTGAGTAACTCTTCAGCGTAATATTGATTGTTACGCATCAAATAACAGGTAGATTAGTAATAGAAAATGTATACTCTTATAACTTTAATGTTAATTTGCAAATTTTTCTGCATAATATATGTTTGAATATCTTATATAGACTAAGATATAAGAAATTATTGATATGAATTCTTTACAATAACTTAAGTGAATATAGAAATGTAGAATAATATAATGAACGCTTGAATAAAATCTCTTTTAAACCACGCAATGTCAGCTGAGTTGTATACTACTACTAGTCTACTATCCGATATTTTTAAATTGTTTATCTCTATTATGTGAGTAAGCTTAGCAACGATCGTCCTCACCAAGTTTTAAAGTTAGTTTGAATTGTCGTCTTCTAAAAAACAATTCTTCAGCTTTTTAAAGGGGGGGGGGTCATGATTTCTTGAGAGAAAAATCGTTGAATGCCAAGGCGTTGCGACACTTCCAATTCGTCCCAGTCTTGAAAATTGATGCAACTTTTTAAAGCATCCTGGATCTATGTTTATTCATGATAGGATTTAGATTGTTATGTAATAACAAAATTATTGTTGATTAACATTATATAGATATATCTTTATGAATATAGTTCAATCAAGAACATAATTAGTAATATAGTAATTATTATAAAAGAATGATAGTCATAATTACAGGGATAACCAGAAAACTGTGGAATAGGAAGACAACATAATAGAAATACTTGACTGTATTTGAAGGTGTTAAAAGAAAATAGATTTATTTGTAACTTAATATTGAATAACTTATTAAGTTAAATGGGTCTGTTTAAATTGCACAATTGCTGTGTCTTATGTTTATTAAGGATAAGGGAGAATGCAGTTTTTATTTAGTTACAGGGTGTTCCGCGAAACATGACAGTTGGTAAATAGTTTAGAATGTCTTCTTCCATAATTTATTAAGTTGTTTAATACCAAAGACAATAATAAAATATTATATATTATATTATATATATTATAGTAAACTTAACTTCAAATTAAAATATATTCAAACAAAAGATTTCTTAAACGAAATAAACTGCAAACAGCCTTTAATATCTAATACAGTGTATGGAAGACGGCATTCAAAACTATTTACCAACTGTCATGTTTCGTGGGACACCCTGTAGAAAAACTAATGAGAACGTTGTTTTAACAGTTAAATGCAATGATAGTTTTTTTATTTTCAATTTATTTATAATTATATAATGAAAGAGGCTGTACGTCTTACGAGCTTTATAAAAGGTGGTCTACCTTTTTGTGTAAAAACATTTACGAAGTCTTAGATATTAAGACAATTTTCTTATCGCACATTGAATCGTACCAGTTTAGAGTGACATAGCCCAGAAAATTGGTTTCTTCAAAATTTAGAAATTAAGGAATTGAGTTTTTGCCACAAACTCAAATCTTCTGATCTCAATGTCTTTGCAACCTGATGGTGCAAACCTCTGATATTTCAAACTTGGATTAGTTTATCTATAAGTATTTATAGTTTGAAATATCTAATGTCTACGACATTGGGTTACAAAGATATAGAGATTTGAAAATCAAAGTTTGTGGCAAAAACTCCTTTATCCAAATTTTTAAAAATCCTTTCTTAAAAACAAAAGAAGAAACAGCTAAATATTCTATAAAAAAGCAAACAAAAAATGATCGGCGTTAAAGAAACTCACAAAAGCGAAATTTGTTCGCCAGAAAAAATCTTGTTTATTTGCAACAATACTATGTTGTACAATTGCAGGTAAGTACGTTTATTATTTTATTACTATCGGTATTTCGTATTATTATACTTAATATCTAAATATCCCTGTAATTTATGAATAAAAATATTTGTTATGGTTGTGTTGTATTATTGTTGTATTATTGTTGTATTATTGATCAAAGTTTATACATTTCTCTTTTTTAGCTTTCTCTTTATATTTTATTTATTTATACTTATTGTCTGATACTAATTATTCCGCCCCCTTTACATTCAATGCTTTCTATTTTACTGTGCATTATATGGAATATCTATATATATATACTTTGCTTGTCTGTTTGTTTGTCTGTCAGTTTGTTTCCAATAAAACGGATAAACCGATCGGGTTCAAATTTTGTGTGGGACTTCACATGTACACAGGGAAGGTTTATAGATGGTCAAAATTTCAAAAATTAATCTCTAACAAAATTCGACTTTTATTCAATTTTGAAAATCCACTAAATTTTTTTTTATAAAATCCGCGAACTTTTTGTTTGTTTTTGTACTACAATGTATGCACAGAGAACTATGTTAACTATTGAAATAGAAGCCTAGCTAGTAAATGAAATGTAAACACGATGTGATATTTTGATAATCAGATGTTTGCATCAAAAATAATCTAAAAATGAAAGAGGAACAGAGCAGAAAAGTAAAAAGCATTTTTAAAATCTAAAAATTTCACCAAATCAACAACAAAATAAAAACCTACAATTTTTAATTCTTAAAACAATTTTTTTAATAAGAAATATTGTTTATTGTTTGAACTGTTAATTTGATGAATACATAAATCCCTGAAATAAATGGTCTAGAGGAGAATTAATATATTCTACAAATATGAACATAACTCAAACCATTTGATATTTATGTTTATCAACTGTTTGTGACTGGTCTAACCCATGAATAGATCGATATCTCTCTATCTATCTATCTATCTATCTATCTATCTATCTATCTATCTATCTATCTATCTATCTATCTATCTATCTATCTATCTATCTATCTATCTATCTATCTATCTATCTATCTATCTATCTATCTATCTATCTATTTATCTATCTATCTATCTATCTATCTATCTATCTATCTATCTATCTATCTATCTATCTATCTATCTATCTATCTATCTATCTATCTATCTATCTATCTATCTACCTATCTATCTATTTATCTATCTATTTATCTATCTAGCTATCTATCTAGCTATCTATCTATCTATGTATCTATCTATCTATCTATCCTTCCATCTATCTATTTATCCATCCATCTATCTAGCTATCCATCTTTCTATGGATAGATATATCTTTCTAAAGTTTATCGACATGTATGCACCCTCATATCATCCAACCAAGAAGAGATGCAATTTATGCAACACAGAAAAAAAACCTTATCATCTACACATCATTATCTTCTAAATCAGCGTACGTGTATTAATAAGAAAATATCTTTTATCATCGATTTAGCCTGATGTGATCATGTTTTTATATATATCTAATAATTTGAATGTTGCAGTTAAGTGCTATATAATTTTTAAAATGAAAATTATTGCAAAGAAATGTTTGTAATATTTTTTTTGAATACGCAATATGTGATGAAAAAAATCTTGGAATTTTAGTTGTTTAAAGAATTTTGACTACTGAGGATCGTCATGAGGCGTGAAACATTATGTTTAGAATAATTCTTTTTTAATAAAATGTGAAGTTTATAACCTGAAATATCCATCTTTCTATATATCTTTCTATGTAACTATCTTTCTATCTACCTATCTATCTATACTATATATCTATCCATATAAAAATCTATCTATCTATTTTTCAATATGTGTATTAACATTTATACTTGTCTATCTTTCCTTCTATTAGCTGTACTATCTAACCATCTATTTATCTATCTATCTATCTATCTATCTCTGTATCTTTCTATGTAACTATCTATCTATCTAACCTTCTATCAATCTATTTATCTATCTAAGCATCTAAGCATCTATTTATCTATCTTTCTATCTATATATGTGTATTTCTATTTAACTATCTTTCTATTTTTCTATCTATCTATCTATCTATCTATATCTAACAATCTATCTATCTTTCTATCTATTCATCTATCAACAATATGTATCCATCTATCTATCCATCTATGCATCAAGAGTCCATGTTTTCTGACACAAAGTATTGCCTTATTGCATCTGTGTGTGTGTATCAATATTTAATAATAATATCTCAATATATCTATATTTAGTAAACTATCTCTCCATCCTAGAATCAAATATTTATTCTCTCTCTTTCTCTCTGTCTCTCTCTCTCTCTCTGTCTCTCCCTCTCATCTCTCCGGTTTTGATGTAGCTGTGGAACCCTGAGCTCCCTGAGCTGAACCCTGGTAGAATCAATACCGGATATATCTCTCAGCATTTCTTCTACTGCAACACTACTATACTTCCACCAAAACAGATCAAATGAATCCAAAGAAATAAAGTTTTGGTTTCTCATCCAACCCTATCGATAAATATCTCTATAAGGATAAGATTATAATGACCTAATACTTTTTAAATATATCAGTCTTAATGTTGAATTTGGCAATCTGTCTAAAAAATCTATCTCCTATCGGTAAACTTTCAAATTTCGGAAAAAGAGAAGCTAGAGTAAAGCTATAAGAATCCAAGAATCTATGAATTTAAACTAACGCTGAATAAATTGCGTACAATCGTCTCTTAAATCTTATTATTCATGGGTAACCTTACTTGCCATCAGAACAAAAAAACATTTCTCTTAACAAAAGTGTAATCTGCTCCTTATATTAAAATTGCTAAAAAAGTAACTTCTAATATAATCCATTGGCACATTTAGACTGAAATATGTACTTGTGATGGTTTTTCTTTAAGAACGGAATTGAGTCTTTGCAACAAACTCAAATTTTCTAATCCCCATATTTTTTCAACCTGATGGTCTTAACCTAAACAATTTTCAAAGTCTAATTTTTTGTTTTAACAGAATTCATAATTTAAAATTATTAAGGTTTACGACATTGGGTTTCAAAACTTTAGGAAACGAATTCATAGTTTGGGGCAAAGACTCAATTTATTTGAAGAAAATAACGTATGTTGCCCATTGTTCCCCCCCCCCTTTACAACAATTGATAATGTTCTTTCTCCAGATAATTTAAATTTGTTGTTAAAAAAACTCAATATTCTTAATAGTCTGTAATATATTTTTAATGGGGGAAATTTTAGCGGGGGGAGGGGGGGGGTTTAAGAGTTAACTTTCTTGAATAATTTCTTTCAACTAATTTTGATATTCGCGTCTTAAATAAAGATACAGAGAACTAGCTGTATTTTTTAAGATTACAAATAACATAATTACTAGGTAACGACATACATATATATAGAATACAGGAATAATGATAATAAAAAAAATAAGTGAGATCGAGAAAGGATAAATTATCTAATAATAATAATTAAATGTACACCTAAGGGTTTCCAAAATGCGTGAAACCAATTCATTCTGAAATAGTCGACACAATGTCGGTTAGAACATTAACAACAACGTTATAAGCCGAATGCTCAACATTATTTGAATTTGTAACATTAACTAGACTAGATCCGTCATGGAGCTTCACTTCTAGGTCGTCGTACTTTTTGAACTCTTGGATATCATTTGCATCGACCATGATATCTCCGAGAGAGACATGATGGTCCTGGGAATCTAAATACTGGATGGAATTTTCTAATAAATCTTTCTCATCTTCATCCTCTTCATCTTCTTCCTCCTCCTCATCCTCCTCCTCTTCTTTGAACTCTATATCTTTGGCATTTTCAGACTTGATGTCAAGATCGTATTGAATGTCCAGCTCTAGCACTTCAGACTTGATGTCCTCTTCCTGCTTTATGTCGAGACAGTCCTCAGGCATGTTGAGGCTGGGAGATAACCGGGCTCGCTTCAACCTCTCCTCCAACTCATCCTCGGCCTTCCTCTTTCCGTCCTCCACATCCTCGTCATCTTCCTCATCCTCTGATTCGTGTTTTCGTCGCTCCTTGATCTTCGAGGCAACTCTTCCTGAGCGCCTTGTCGGCTGGATCAATTCCTTGTCGATTTTTGGTTTCTTTGGTGATTTTTTCAGATCCTCTGTCTCAGCGTCCATGTTGTCGTCTGAGTCTGCAATATCGAGCTCCAGTAGGTCCGGATCCTCGGGCATGGTCTTTCCTTTCTTCTTCTTCCTCTTCTTGCAAGTTTTGTTCTCGTAAAGTTCTTGAAGTGCGACCTTTCTCTGTTTGGCTCCGCTTATCACAATATTAAAATCCTTCTCCTCATAACCTCCGTCATCAAACATATAATCAATCACACCACGTCGGGACTTGATGATGTCGCCCTTCGGAGACATGTAGAAGTAGACCGTCTGGTTCGCATACTCATGTCGCTTGATCTTCCATCCCGGCGGGAGGGTTGTGTTCCCCGCCTTCCATCCGATCAGCGGGTTACAGGGGGAGTTGTCTTGACGCATGGGCACCGCAGGCTTTTTCTTCCCGTTCTTGTCCGTCTGCGGTGTCGTCTGGAGCCGAACCATCTCGATCTGGTCCTGTGTGTAGTTCCCGTCGTTCGTCATGTGCTCCACCACGGCCTTACGGGACTTGAAGAACTCGTTCTGGGGGGAGAGGAACTCGTAATGGATTCTTGAAGAGGGAAAAGGGGGGGATTAAAGGGGGATTAAAGGGGGATTAAAAGGGGGAATTATGAAGGGTGAGGAAAAGTAAAATTGTAGTTATTATAAAGGGAAAGGGATTTTGTTAAAAGAAGGGAGAGGCAAACATTTTAATGATTTTTTTACAATCCAAGTTTTAAACAGCTACTAAACAGGCCTGTAAAGAAAGATAGATAAATAGAGGAAAATATGGATGAATGAAAGTACAGCTGGATAGATAGATAGATAGAAATATAGCTAAATAGATATAGATAGATAACGGATAAATGATTGAACGATAGAAAGATAGAAAAATAGATAGATAGATAAAAATATATACAATTATATAGATGGATGGGTAGATGAATAGATAGATTGATAGATAGATACATAAATAAATGGATGGATAGATAGATAGATAGATACATAAATAGATGGATAGATAGATAGATAGATTAAATCAGTTTGATCAATATTTACACCTGTTCACAGAACTGTTAACTTACATGGAGAGGGGTCAAGGTTTTACAGGAGGTAAACGATCAATTTCAGGGGATAGGATCAATTTCAGGCGATAGGATCAATTTCAGGGGATAGGATCAATTTCAGAAGACAGGAATCAATTTCAGGCGATAGGATAAATTTCAGGGGATAGCATCAATTTCAGGGCATAGGATCAATTTCAGGGGATAGGATCGATTTCAGGGGATAGGATCATTAGTAGCCAATAGGATCAATAATATGAGGTAGAATCAATAGTAAGGGATAGGATCAATAGTAGGGGATAGGATCAATAGTAGGGGATAGGATCAATAGTAAGGGATAGGATCAATTTCAGGGGATAGGATCAATTTCAGGGGATAGGATCAATTTCAGGGTATAGGATCAATAGTAGAAGGTAGGATCATTACTAGAAGGCAGGATCAAAAGTAGGGGAAAAAGATCAATAAAAGGAGATATGACCGATAATAGGAGATAGGATCAAAAGTAGAGGCTAGGATCAATACTAGAGAATAGGGTCCATACTAGATAATAGAATCAATTCTACGAGATAAGATCAATAATAAGAGATAAGATCAATAATAGAGGCTAGGATCAATAGCAGGGGATAGGATAAATGCTAGAGAACAGGATCAATACTAGAGAAAAGGATTAATAGTAGGAGAAAGATCAATGCTAGGAGAAAAGATCAATACTACGAGATAAGATCAATACTAGGGGATTAGAGAATAGTATTAAAACCAGGGAATTGGATCAATCAATCAATCAAGATGATAATCGAAATTGAAAATATTTAAAATTTATAGAAAATTTATTGATTTTATGCTGTTTAACATTCGATCAGAAAAATCATTGAAATTGATCAAATTAAATCAATTTTTTAGAATATTTAAATGCCAAGACCATCAAAAGTTCAAAAATAATTTTTTTTTATATTTTGAATTTTCTTTAGTTTATTTTGTTTTAGTTAGATAAAATCAAATTGAGGGGATCTTTAATGTTTTCACGCGAATATGTCGGAAAATTTGATGAACTACTCAAACTTTTAAATATTCCCTTATTCTTTTCTAGCACGAATCCATCAAGANTGAGGGGGAATAACTTCAAGAAATTTGCGTCGCTCTATTTCTAAAATCTCAGTAAGAACTTACTAAAATAAGTTTTTAAATATTTGCATATATCACATAGTACACATTCAAAGAAATTCTTACAGATCAAAGATAGTTTTAAATAAACAAAATGAAAAATATCTAAAGCAAACCGTAAGTTATATTAAGCAAACCGCAAGGTATATTAAGCAAATCGGAAGAATTAAATAAAAATAAAAAGGGTTCAAAGCTAAAAAAGCTGCAAGCAAAATGAAAAGAAAAGTGAGTAAAGCAAAATAAAAAGAGTTTCAAACAAAATTAAAATTGTTTGGAGCAAAACGACGAAACATATTTGTAGCAAAATGAAATGTACTATTATAGGTAATAAATTCACACAAAAAATCAAAGTACGTATATTAATGAAAGTAAATAAATTAAAGTACGTATATTAATATAAGTAAATAAATCAAAGTACGTATATTAATCTAAGTAAATCAATTCTAATACCCTCTATTGCAAACTCATTTTCAGAATGAAATCCTTGAGATATCATTTTGTTTTACTGACTGAAAAGGAACTGATTTTCTAATCCTATTATCTTTGCAACCCGAACTCATAGACCTTTGATATTCAAAACTATTAATTCCATGTATGATAAAATGGTTTAGGTTTGACATATCAAGGTTTACATGATCATTGATCAGGTTTCAAAGATATAGGGATTAGTAAATTTAATTTTGTGGCAAAAACTCAATTCCTTTATATTTCTGAAAAGCTAGTTTTTTTCTAAAAGTGTCAGTAAATTTATGCTGCGGAGAGAAGGAATGAAATGGTCAAAATTGAACATGTTTAGAATAAAAAACAAAAATATCTTTCTCATTGTTTCTCAGTTAGATGTTAAAGGGTACCATTGTGAATAGTGCACACAACTAGCTTTATATTTAACCGATAGTCCCTTTAAAGCAACATAGCACTGAAATTTGGAAAAGGTAAAAACAAGAAAAAATGACATTTAGTTGATATGTGCCGGTTTCAGGGCTTCTTCTATTTATTTAACATTACACATAAACATAACACATTTGTATACTGACAGTTGGGATGTAGGACTTGAGAGAAGAGAGGGGGGGCTANTCCCACCCCTTTATCCTCCCCCATTCCCCAATCCAACCCACCCTTTACCATGAACTCTTGGATTTCTCCAGCAAAGACAACGAGGAAAATGCCAAAGATTTTTTTAATTTACAAAACTTTATTTTAGTGAGAGAAGGTTTTAAAGGAGTTCGTGCCTAAAGACTTATATAACTTTCAAATAAAGTTTAAAACTGTCAGAAATATTCGGATAACTCAAGGGATAACTTTAGAAATCTTTAAATATATCTTTAGGAGTCTAGGACACATAATAAAGTACCAAACTTCATAATATAGTAGATATGGTCATCAGAAGATATTGAACACTTTAGAAATAAAAATCGCATAAGGTGAAAATAATTCAATAAGAATTTATTTTTAAACAAAGGAGTTGAGTCTTTGCTACAAACTCAAATATTCTATACCCTATGTCTTTGCAACCTGTTAATGTAAACCTTTAGTATTACAAAGGATTTGAGTCTTTGCCACAAACTCAGATTTTCTAATCCCTATATATTTGCAGCCCAGTGTCGTAGACCTTAGATATTTCAAGCTATGAATTCTGCTAGATCACATAATCTAAGTTTGAAATATCAAAGGTTTGCGCCATCAAGTTGCTAAGATATAAGGGTTAGAAAATTTAAGTTTGTGACAAATACTCAATTCCTTTAGTTCATAATTCATAGTTTGAAATATCTAAGGGCTACTTTCGGATGCAAAGATATATGAGTTAGGAAATTAGGATTTGTGGCAAAGACTCAATTCCTTTGGAAAGTTTCAACAATCCACGATATTAATCTGCCAGAGAAAAGTACGAAGCAAAAATTTCAATTTATTGAATAATATTTCCGCCTCATCCTCCATTGCTCCGAAGATACATACTCTTCCCTACTCTGTGAAGTACCCGGAGAATAATCAGAACACGAGACTATTCAGTTCACAAACAGATTAAAATAATTCTTATTTCATGATAACCAACCTTAAAGTGGGCAAATTTAAATCAGATTTGTAATAAAGACGGACAAAAAAACTAGCTTTGTTTTGAAAGGACCAAAAAAGTATCTTCAAAACTCTTGTAGAAAATTTACGCTCCCTGAGATTGCATGGGTTTAGATTCTCATGAACAAAAATTTTGAACAAAAAAAGGATTGAGTCCTTGCCACAAATTCAATTTTTTAAATCCCTATATCTTTGTAACCTGATTGTGTGAACCTTTTTATTTCGAACTGAGATCTAACAGAATTAATATCTGAATTCAACGATATTAAATTGCTAAGATATAGGGATTAGAAAATCAAAGTTTGTGGGAAAAACTCAATTCCTTTTTAATGTTTTTTGTGAGATTAGAGTCCGAATTTAATGAAATTTAGCCGCGTCTCAAATTCTTTAAATTCGGCCTCTGTTTCAACAATTAATTTCGAGAAGATAAATTGTGTATTGATTTATTAAAATCTATGCCAGCAACATGAATATTTGGTAAAAATTTTATGAATGGCGGAGAAAATTCAAATCATGAATTTTGAAAAGAAGGAAAACTGAAATTAATTAAATTACCTTCTTTCCATTCGTCTCCAACATTTAGAAGTACATTGAGTCCCTTGGTCATCTTCTCAATATCCAGCTGGGAGTAGGTACCAGCAGCTAGCATGTGCTGTAGTGCACTCTTCCTAGAGTGAAATATTTTCTTATCTGGGGACATAAACGCAATCTTGGCCCTGTTGTCGCTGGTGGTCGTCCACGCCACCTTCCAGTCCACCGGTACGGTTGGATCGTCGTCCTTCCACTCCCTCTTTAACTTATCCGAGCGCTCCTTGATCACTGTGACACTGGAGTCAGGTTTAGCGGTTGTGATCGAGCTCTTCACCCAGTCGATCTCCTCCTGGCAATAGGAACCTGAAGCCTCCATGTACTCCACCACCTTCCACTTGGATCTAAACTGTGCTCCGTCAGGAGCCATGTAGTAGGTGTCAACCTTACTCAGTTGACCTTCACGGTAATGCTGCCTTGTTTTCCAGCCTGCAGGCAGGCTTGCATCATCAACCCACTGAATTTGAGATTTGAGACTAGGATGAAAGTTTGTGGTAAGTGAGTCAGCATCAATAAGCTGCTGAGCTGAGACTGTGAAGCTCCCGGCCTGCAGCTTACTGAAGTCAATATCAGCTCCGTTGATGATCTGAGCTGAGCCACCAGCAATACTGATGATGGATGCGTTGAGCTGCTCCTGGGTCAACCCTCCTGAAGGGATGGTGAAGGTCTCTGTGTAGATTCCGTTCAGGGTTGACGTAGAAGTGGTGAATATCTCACCCTGGGTAGAGGATAGAAGAGGTTCAGACTTAATTATTGAGTTCAGTGTTGTTGGAACCCCTGAAAGAGCAACGGTTGTCTCCCACATCTGGTTTATCTCTCCTAGAGATGGTGCTTCTGTTTTTATATTCTGAAAAGAATCTGATGAGGTGTAAATGGTGCCAGATATTGCTTGTAGATCTGCATGAGAAGATGTCTGAATGCTTTGTGTATGATCATCAGTATGACTGAACTTGAGGTCCAAGGGTTGGAGAGAGGAGGAGAAGGGGTCACCAGAGTTATTGGAGGATGTACAGTTTGTGCTCACTTCGTTGCTCCAGTTGGCATCCGGGATGAAACCTATGGAGAAGGAATCAATGTCTGCTTCAGAGATAGTTACAACTGAGTCTGAATCTGTGACACTAGGTGATCCCAGACCGTTCTCTATCCCTGCTGTGAGCAGAGCGTTCTGGATTATATCTGTCTGACCGTTGACCTCTAAACCAGTAAACTCACTGTCCTCAAACATCTCATGAAGCTGTTCAAACTCCATGGCCTCTTGGCGCTCATGAATCAGGAGATCTGTCCGGTTGTTGAACGGTTTTTGGCAATACTGGCAGAAGTGTTCTCCAGAACTGTTATTTATTGTTACAGTCTTCTGTATGATGGTCTGGGTGGTGCTGGTTGGGTTCTGCAGGTAGCTGCTGTTAGGGTTGCTCACTTCGTCCTCTGGTATCCCATGGACCTTGGTCAGGTGAGCCCGGAGCCGGGACTTCTTGAAGAATCCCATTGTACAAAACTGACAAACATTTGGCTTCTCACCAGTGTGTGTCATCTCGTGGAGACGTTTCTTATTGGGGTATTTAAATTTTTTGTCACAATATGTACACTGATGGGTTCGAACCTCTACAGCTTCTCCATGTACCTTCATCATGTGTACACTAAGGTTGGACTGCCTAATAAAGTCTGCGCTACAGTGGGGACATACAAAGGGTCTTTCATTAGACTGAGAAATTGTCTGATAGCTTGTGGCTGAGCTGAGAAAGGGTCCTTCTCCAGGCTTGGTTAAGGAGCCAAACTCCAGGTTATGCTGACTCATTGGGATTGCCATTATCTCCCCCTTGTCATGGCAATCAGTAGTATCAACCTGATCTTGATCAGACAAATCTGAGTCAGGTTTGAGAGAGAATTCAGCAACAATATAAGAGTTTCCAGGTATTGGGATTTGCACTGCAGTAGTATCAGCAACTACTTGAGCAGTTGTAATGGTTTGACTAGAGGGAAGCCGAAGCTGAGATTGACTAGAATTTATTAACGGTGAGGTTGTAATAGTTTGTGTTGCATAAATTTTATTACTGGGCAAAGTTTTGATGAGAGGAGCTGGAGCTGCTGCCTGAGCAACTGCAGCAGCAGCTGCAGCAGCCGCTGCAGCTTCCTGCTGAGCTTTCAAGCTTTCATCAGCATGATGTTTGGAAATATGTTCCATCATGTGAACTTTCTGGCTGAACCCACGTTGGCAAAATTGGCACACGAAGGGCTTCTCCCCGGTGTGTGTTAGGATGTGTCTTTTAACCTTGCTCGGGGTTGCAAAGCTCTTCTCGCAGTATCCGCACTGGAACCTCGCCTCTTTGGACCCCTCGGCCCTGGTCGTAGTGGAGACATAGTTCTCACTCTTGCTACTGGTCACAGGGAAGTTTCTTATTTGTTGAGTTTGAATCGGTTTCTGACTAGATTTTATAGTTTCAAGGTTGGAGAGAAAGGGTTTCCTCTCCTCTGTCTGAAGATCACTTGTATTAAGATGTATAGAATGCATTTTGGTAATATGATTCACAAGACTATTCTTCTCATTAAACCCTAGCTCACAAAAGGGGCAGAGGTAGTCCTTATCCCCAGAATGGGTTTGCTCATGTCGGGTGAGAGAGTTTAGATTTGGAAAAGTTTTATCACAATAAGTGCACTGAAACTTTAAGTTTTCTGTGTGTTTATCCTCATGTAATTGCAGAGATCTAGGAGAATACAGAGGTTTGTCACAATATCTACAGATAAATTGCTCTTCTATAACGCACTCAGTCATATTCTTTAATCACTTGCGTGAGCTGCAGCTCGGACTAGTACCTGAAGTTACAAGGTTCAATTTTGACAACCTGCTCCGTCCTGAGGGATCCTGGACTTTCTCTGCAGATAACATGATAAAATCAATGATTACATTTGAATAAAAACACTTCCTCTCTTGGTTTGAATCAAACTAGAAATGTTCTCACTGTTAAAAAGCTGAGATATCAAGTAACCTGGGCCAGGATCTGAATTTCATTCTGCATATTCAGTTTTACTGAGAGGTTTGTGAAAAATCAATACATTTCTGCCCTCACCCTACACTCTCTGCTATGCAGCTGACACACTACTGTGTCCCAGCAAGGACTGCTTTCTTGCTTTCCCTTCCCCCCGCCTGAGAAGCTTTAGTTTCCCCTCCGTTCTCTTCATAATATTGATTTTCAACTACCGCGCAGCATCGATCTTCTTGGCTCGGCCCCTCCTACCCTTGATGGGTGGCACCGCCGTAGCAACCCTGGAGAGCTCCGGCTCCAGGTCCCAGTTTAAATACCCAACTTTAAACCAGGTTCGCGGAGCTGGCCCCGTGTGTATACTTGGACATTTAAACATGATAAACCATCGGTCTTACGTCACGGATACATCCCGCCCCTCCTCCTCCCTACCCACCCCAGGCACTGCTTTCATATTCTTGATCAATATAAACTGGGGAAATGACTGACCTAGTCCCAACATATTTTGGGTAAACATTGAAGCTCTAGGCAGATACTGCCTGGTGGCAGCTAAACACTGCATATATATTCATATAGGCAGCCACAGCTCTTTCAGCCTCAGAGACATACCCGGAGCTAGAGCTTGAAACAGGTTCAGAGTAAAACAAAAAAAATCCAGGATCTAATTAAAATTTTTATATTTATATTCTCCGAAGAGTTAAGCAAAGGTTCTGTGTCTAAAGATATCCCTAGAGAATAGTATATCAATGTATATCTACGTTGGTAAAGTTTGTATATCTTATAGCTTTATTATGCACAAAAAGGATATTCCATAGATTAGGAAAAGACAGCCAGGACAGTTAAAGTTTATTCTGTGTTTCAAAACCAGGGATGTATATAGTTTTTCCGGTCTTAAAATAAATACAAGGAACGTATAGTTTTTCCGGTCTTAAAATAAATACAAAGAACGTATAGTTTTTCCGGTCTTAAAATCAATACAAGGAACGTATAGTTTCCTCAGACTTAAAAATCAATACAAGGAACGTATAGTTTCCTCAGACTTAAAAATAAATACAAGGAACGTATAGTTTCCTCAGACTCAAAAATAAATACAAGGAACGTATAGTTTCCTCAGACTTAAAAATAAAGACAAGGAACGTATAGTTTCCTCAGACTTAAAAATCAGTACAGGATACAGGGGGGGGGCGGGGACATTCGCCCCCCCCCCTGATTTTGGATTTTTTTGTTTCTATTTTCAGAATAGCTTCTCAATAGCATGCTTAAGAGAAAGAAATCCTAGTGCAAAACAGGGAAAATATCTGTCTTAAGAAACTATAATGCGTGAAAAGTTAAAAATCTAGTTTTTTTGTCATTAATTTTGACTCTTTTTGAGTCTTTTAAGTCAAAGCAAATTTTCGCCTGCGGCACGATTTTTTTTTCCTGATTATGAATTTTTTGTTCCTAAAAAATCTTGCCCACCCTCACTTAAATCCTCTATCTGCCCCTGCATGTATAAATGTTTTTCAAGTCTAAAAAAGAATACGACGGACGTATCGTTTCTCCAGTCTGAAAGATAATACAAGGGACTGATACACGGTTTCTCTGGTATACAGGGTTACCCACAAAGGATGCGACTTCAGAGACGATTGTACGAAAATTGTTCAGTCCGTTTTCTTGTTTTCAGGGCCCCTTGTAGGCTGGAACTGGCTTCTTTCTGTGTTTAATAATTTAGTAACCATCAAGTACTTAATTGAATGCAGAAACCAAAAATTAAACTTGAAATTTCTTCGGGCTGAACATTAATGTAAGGGATACATACAATATACATATTTCTTTGGTCTGATAAAAAATACGAGTAACGTAGTAACTCCAGTCTAAAAAAAAAGTATGCAAGGAGCGTATATACAGAGCGTTTCATATCATATTAGATTATCTCCAAGATTTAACGCCAAAATACGCACATAATACTCGAAAAAACTAATATTTTCTGCAAGAAAACTTTTATAAAAACTTTTTACATTTTTCAAAAATGATTCATTGTTTTTAAATTTTCCGATTAGTCCCTAAAATCACAATTTATATATAGCTCAATACACGATCTAATATGTTTTGGGACACCCTGTATGTTTAAGAATTCGTGGGACGTATATAGTGTCCCTGATCTAAAAATAAATGCAAGGGACATATATATGTTTCTCTGGTATGATAAAGAATAGGATCTGGATGTATATATGTTGAGAAAAGAACTCTATAACTGTTAAATGTATTTTGTTACCCTGTTACAGTTTTTGCTGTCCTTTTATACATTTTTTTACTCTATTTTATTCCTACTGTTTGTTTATGTATGTATGTATATATTGTATAATGTATAAAGAATGAGAAATAAAAGGTTTTACTTCGTAAACTTATTTTTCCTCAGAATTTATCTTGAAATAGAGCAGTAGATATAAGCTTAAGTTTCATATTTTGAAGTTTAGGTAAATTAGGTTTAATCTAAATATAACTTTAGGCATATTTTTAGGTTTAATTTTAAAGTCTTTGTTTAGATGTAGGATTAATTTATGATTGATATTAAGGTTCAAGCTTAGGTTTGTAACTTAGGTTAGAATTAGAGGTTTACATTTGCAGTTTACCTTCGGTATAATTTACTTTTAATTCTACTTTCTTCTTTAGGTTTAGGTTTAGATTTAGGTTTAGGTATAGGTTTAGGATTGTTTTAGTTTAAAGTTTGGTTTTAGGTTTAGGTTTAGATTTAGGTTTAGGTTTAGGTTTAGATTAAGATTTAGGTTTAGATTAAGGTTTAGGTTTAGGTTTAGGATTGTTTTAGTTTAAAGTTTGGTTTTAGGTTTAGGTTTAGATTTAGGTTTAGGTTTAGGTTTAGATTAAGATTTAGGTTTAGGTTTAGGTTTAGGTTTAGGTTTAGGATGTTTTTGTTTAAAGTTTGGTTTTAGGTTTAGGTTCAGATACCAGATTTAAATTTCGTTGTAAATTTTATTCTATATAGGTCTAGATTTATTTAGAAATCAATTTAAGTTTATTGTTAATATTTATGTTTATTTTTAGGTTTAAGATTGCGGTTTATTTTTAGCTTAGGATAAGTTTAAGGTTTAAGATTAATTTCAGGTTTATTTATTGGTTCAGGTTTATTTACTCAAGTTTAGTGACAGTACTGATGTATATTATACGAATGGTTTAAGTCGCAGTTTATCATTTTACTTATATCAATAAACTAGTTTGAACAGATTATTTTTAATTAATTTTTGATTATTTGGTTCAAAGGTTTCAGAGAAAGGTTTCTTTCAACAGACGAGATTCATCCGATCAAAAAGAGTAATTTAAGATTTAAATATCTGATTATAAAATCAAACAAATAATTAAAACTAGTTTGATCCTTACAAAAGAAACACTAAAGAAATTGAGTTGTTGCCACAATCCCTATATCTTTGCAACCCAATGTAGAAACCTTATTTATTTCAAAATATGAATTCTGTTAGTTCAAAAAACTAAGTTTGAATTGAAACATCAAAGGTTTATACAATCAGGTTGCAAAGATGGAGAATTTAAAAAAGAGACAAGTTAATTCAAAAATGATGTTAAAAAATTAATGGCATGGTTTATTATTTTTTCGTATATTGTCTCTTTTTATAAGCGAATTTTAAAATCTATAAATGCTTCTTTTCTTTTAATTGGGTTTAGTCGCTTGATCTGTGATTTAAATTTTCTGAAAAATTCAGTCTTAAAATATTTTGTTCTAAGTATAAAATGAGTTTATTGCATTAAATAATCACAATTCCCCAAGTGTATTGTGCTTACATGGGGAACGTGAATATCGACTAAGCTAGGTAATTGAGTCGAAATAATAATTATTTATAATTTACAGTGCAGCAAAGGTTGCAAGCTCTCCAGGAAAAATTATTGAGAATTTTGTCTATTACTTCTTAAAAATTAAAGACAAAAACAAGTGCTTTACATTCTAAAATGTACATGTCTAGGGCTACAAAAAAGTATAATTCAGTCAGGTAAAAGTAAATGCCAAGGCGGTGCGACACTTTAAAGTAGACCCAGTCCTAAAAAATTGATACAAATTTTGTCTAGCAGTCTGAATCTATGTTAACTTGGCTTGTCTGTTTGAATGCATGACTTGTTTGGATTCAAATAACGTCAAAACGATTGACTTAACCGATGAGAGTTCATCCCTTTTTGCTGGACCTCCCNATCCCCCCAAAAAAAAAATTGAATTTTAATTTTCCTAAAAAATTGATCAAATGTAAGGACGAGAAAAAATGAATGATGAGCACACTCTCAGAGCTAAAACCATGATTTCTTTGGTAAGTGTACCTCAGATCACTGCATTACTCACATAAATAAATCATTAACGAGGCTTGACAACAAAAAAGAAGATTTTCCGTGTACTCATCATATTTTTTCTATACTAAGGCAAGGAATGAGCAGAAATTACGTCTATACGGTTCCCTTACGCTTGACGTTTTCGTGGTTTTACATTTCTTATGATATACCAAAAATATAGTTAATGTCTTAAATGATTTTTTTTTTAAATTGAAACTTTGATAACTTTAATGTCTACATTTATATATTTTTGTGTCTATATGTTTCTATATATATCTTTTTATCTTTCTTTCTATCCATTAAATATCTATATGTATATATTTCTTTCTATCTATCTGTCTATCTTTCTATCTATCTATCTATAAATGTATGTATCCATCTATCTTGAGTTGAAATTATTGATTCTCTTGTATACACTGTATAGTATTAGTGTATAGTGTATATACCCCTCTTCCTGGTGTATATATATGACCTACTTCTTCTCTATATTCAGGGCTAAAAACTGATAAAAACATTAGATAAAAATATACACAAATTTAAAATTGCAGTTTTGTAAAACATTATTATAAGCATTATCAGACTGAAAATTATAAAGTAAAATTAGTATTTACAAGAATGGTTATTTATGTATACCAACTATTTGATAAAAAAACTTTTTAAAAAATTAAATGAGAAAAAATTGTAGAAATAAAAGGTGTTATCAGATAAAGAGACTTAATCTTAAATGACATATTTCAGTAATTAAGCAGAACACAATGGTGGAATTGATTTTACAAAAAGTTTTTCTACACAATCTTTTTTATCGGAATGATGAGAAAACCTTTTAAAGCAAAGTACGTAGCATTCAATGGTAAAAGTGTAGTCATTGACCAGGATTTCAATCAATAAAAATCAATATTTACTATGAATAGTTAATGTGCACTCCCTCCACGCTTGCTTTTAAGAATCGATAATCATTGACATTTTAATTTCAAGTTTTTACTAAACTGACAAATATTATAAAACGGTTAAGAAATCAAGAAAAGGAAGAATACCAATTTAAAGAAGGAAAATGAACAAGAA